AGGTGGTGCTCTTGAAGTCTTTGCGACCGCGCGGAGCGTCTGCCTGGCCAGGATCGATGGCGTCGACCAGCTCGCGGAAGTTGTGCATCCGCCGCTCGCCGTTGGCGTCGAGCAGCTTGCCGACGCGGGTGCGCAGCGTAGGGTCGCGGATCGTCGCCACGGCCCGCTGCGCCCGGCTCGCCATGGAGCGGACGCTGGTGTGGCTGGCGCCGATCGGGTAGCGCACGCCCGTCAGCACGCGCAGCATCGTGATGCCGCAGGTCCAGGCGTCGACCTCGGGCCCCCAGTACCGGATCGCGCCCTGCGGATTGCGGAGCGCCGTGACAATCTCCGGGCAGTGGAAGGCCGGGCTGCCGCAGCACGTCGTCAGCTTGGGCTCGCTCCTGCTGTAGTGGGTGGCCAGGCCAAAGTCGAGCAGCTTGAGGTGGAGCGTGTCCGGGTGGACGAGGATGTTTTCGGGCTTGATGTCGCGGTGGCAGATCTGCAGCGGGTGGTGGATGGCCTGGACGGCCGACAGCAGCTGATCCAGGACACGGTCGGCGATGTCGGTGGGCAGGCTGGGCAGCTGCGGAGGCGGCCGTTCGGTGCGCATCGAGAGCAGCGCTTCGAGCGTCACGTAGCCCTCGAGGTACTCCTCGACCAGGTAGAAGTGGCCGGGCGTACGGATCGTCTCGTTGACGTTGACGAGGTTCGGGTGGGGCGGCAGCTCGGCCAACAGCGTGGGCTCGCGCAGCAGCCGCGTGGCGATCAGGGGATGGTGGGGGAAGAGCGGGGTATGCTTGACCGCGTAGAGCTGCGGCGCGCCGCCGGGCCCCGATGGCTTCGAAGCGAGGAAGACGCTGGAAAACTTGCCGCGCCCGAGGATCCGAGGCAGGAGGGTATATTCCGAGATGCCTCGGCTCAGCAGCTTGTCGGCCGACGAGACGAGCACCGGCTGGCGGAGCGGGAAAGGATGGCGCGGCGATGGAGGGGAAGCGGAGGGGGCGAAAGAGGGCAGAAGGTTAACAGATGGAGGCAAGGCGAGAGATTTTGTCAGCGTTGCGCTCGGGTAGGCGTGAATGCCAATGGCCCTTCCACATTCGCGACGGGAGGGGCTGCAAGGACCGGTCGTTCGCCCTTCGAGCGTCCCACTCACCTCGTGCTGTCGTCGCTGCACCTCGTCGAGGGTCGGAAGAAGATCGCAAACGTCCCATGCGTCGTCCCGAGAGCGCGTCCTTTGTTTGATCCCTAGTCGATGCTGCCCGGAGCCAGCTACGTCAGAGCAGATAGCGATGCTGCCGGCGCTCGACGACTTGCGCGAAGAAGGAGCGGTGCCGGCCGTGGCATCACCGCCGCCACCGCCGGATTCGCCCGAGTCGTCGCTGCGGTCCTCCGGCCGCCTCGGAGCGTCGAGCAGACTGAGGACGTCGCTGCCAGCCCCGCGCGTGCGTTCCCAAGCCTCTTGCTCGGCCAGCTTGGCGGCGGTAGCGGCCTTGAGTCGCTGGCTCTCTCTCTCGTCGGCTGGAGCCCTGCGGCTGCTCGAAGATTCTGGCTGTGCCCTATGTGCGGCGGCCGTCCGATCGGCGGAGAGTGATGGGCTCGAGGGCGGTCGATGGCTGATGCTTCGCCGAGCTTCGGGCCTGTTTCGAGCCGAATTGGCGCTGGGCTGCGGGTCAACCTGGAGCATGACGACCTTGGTCGAAGGCTTGGGCCCGATCGACTGGCTGCGGCTGTGGGTGGGTGGTTTGAGCCGTCCCTGCGGCGAGGCATCGACTTCCTCCTGGCGTGCCCGCAGGCTCTGCGCCGACGTGGCGAGACGAGCCTGAGCCAGGGGCGCCGCGCTTGCCGCCTCGGCGTCGGGCAGGCCGATGCTGCTGAACGAGCTGCCAGTGGCCGTGATGTTGCTGGTCGCGGTCGAAGTCGCGCGCGAGGTCGACGAGAGGCGCGGCAGCCTCCGAATCGGACTCGGTCCGCGTGACGGGTCTCGAGAGGAGCCGCCGCTGCCGCTAGCGGTCAATGTGGGTTGGAGCAGCTGGCTTGTGGACCCTCTTTGAGATGCAGGCTGCGAGGGTGGTGCCAGCGGCGACAATGGCAGTGTGGGCGACGGCGATGCAGGAGATGGGGCATTGGAGGGAAAGGGAATTGACGGAGACGTAAAGTCCCCCGCCTTTTCTTCGTGCTGCCCTGCGCCAGGAGGGGCAGAGCCCAGCCCGACCGACGCCATTGCTGTTCAGGTGGGCCGCACAGCAGTCGGCCGACCTGGCAGGCGTGGACGGCGTTCCTGTGCGGCGAGCGGTGGGTTGAGGGAGCGGACGGGGTGGGCGATGCACCTATTGCAGAGATTCTTCTCGCCAGGATGTCCGCCTGTGACGTCGAGAAGGTGAAGACGAGGCTATCAAGGCGCGAGCTGCCAGTTACGGTGCCGCTGGTGCTGGCGGAAAGGGTGGTCCGTGTGGTATCGTGGCATGTGAGGAGTCGACGAGCGTTCTTCTTGTGATGATAACGAAAAGCGGCGTTCGGAGGCTGAACGACGAGCAGGCGATGTGGCTGCAGTCAGGAGCGGAGCGGCGGCGCCAGACTTCTGCTGGCGTCGACCCGAAGCAGGAGCCTGTGGGCGAGCAAGGGCCAATCGGGCTCCAAGGGGGGTTGTGCTATGGGTCGCGCTTATCAGGGACGGTCAGAGCGTGGCATGCGGAGAGTATGCGGGTGGTGGCGATGGCGAATGCAAATGCGATGGTGCTGGGAGTGGAAGATGACGGACAGGACAGGACAGGATAGGGGCGCTGAAATCGGCTGTAGCCCCGAGCTGAGCAGTTTTCTTGAGGTCCTGCTGAGGAGGTTACGATGGGCTGCAGCCGGTAGAGCCCGCGGTCTGAGCTGGTGGCCTATGCTGCTGCTGCTGCAGCTGCTTCGCGATCGACTATCAGCACGTCGGTCCCCTAGCCTGGCGATGACGGAGTACGGGCGATAAGGAGGCGTGGTGGCTAGACGAGGAGATAGGCAGGCAGGCAGGGTGGGGTTGGTGGAAGGGAGGGAAGGCGAGGCGGCGGTGGAAGTCGACAAGACAGAGATAAGGAATGGCCAGTCCAGGCTGGACCGCAACCCGCGTGGGGCAAGCTGGCCAGTAGCTTGGCTGAGCCCGCCAGGACAGCCAGGCGGGCGGGCGGGCGGACAGGCCGACAGGCAGGGTTGGGTTGGGCAGGGCAGGGCCACGGCTGCAGATGCAGATCCTGGATGCTCCGCAGGCAGGCGGGCAAGGCACGGTGCGAATCGGTCGCTGCAGAACTAGGCCAGGCTGGACCAGCAAGCCAGACCCTTTCCGGGGTGGAGGCAGCTGGCTGGCAGGCTGGCAGGCAGGCAATTCGAAGCGCGCCCAGGCAAGGCCACCCAGGAAAAATCCAGGGTCGAGATCCGGCCCAGCGCCACCAGGTGGACAGAGTCCGATTTTTTTAGAGCTCGCGGGTGGGTTGCCGGTGCTCATGGAAACCACCGACCGTGCTCCGGCGCCCCGCTCCTCCCCGCTCGAGCAGGGCGAGAAGCTCTTGGCCTCGTATGGTGGTCACGACGGGGGAAAACGTGTCAGCAGCCACGTCCTTCTCTTCGCAACAAGCAAGGCCAGGCCAGACGATCCTACCTCGTACCTGCTGTGGCAACCTCGCAGCAAAAGCTCGGCACAGCGGCGATGCCAGGGGGCCAGGCCAGAAGAGGCAGGGATGAGCGTGGCTGTCGTCTTGCGTCTCGGCGACGTCCGATTCCCACCCCGCACCGCTCTCTACGTACGAGAGGAAAAGCACGGCGGTGTGCGCTATTGTTGAGCCCTGGCCAGCTCGTCGCTGCAGCGACCTGACCATGTGCATGCTCCTCTTCTTTGCCACCGCCGATCAGTCTTGCTGCTTATTCTTCGATTCGACGACCGGGTCGCGTGAGCATGTCACCAGCAGCAGCAACGAGCGGAGGCGTCCCGTCGGAAGACATCCGGAGCAGCAGGTAGGCAGCACGCGGCCAGGCAAGCTTTCGAGCTTAGCTTGCTTGCTCGTGAGCTTGCAGGCCGGCAGGCCATCCATGTGCCAGAAGAAGCGCGCCAGGAAGTGGTTGGTCTGGGAACGTCAGAGGGAGTCGGCGGGCGTAGTCAGGGCGTAGCCAGGCCGTCCGGCTCTTCCGATTGGGCCGACGTGAGCTTGCTTGCAAGCTTGCTTGTCTCGAGAAGCCAGAGCGAAACCGTGGGGGAGATGCACGCAACGCAACCCACGGCGTGGGGCCGTCTGGCTGGGCGTACCTGCCAGCCAGGCGGCAGGACCCTGGCCCGCCTGCGAGTTTACCCGAGGGCGGGCCGTCCGTGGCAGGCCAGGCTCGCGCCGTGATTGGCGGAGCCCGAGGGTACCATCGCATCGTCAAGGACCACCATCCATCTCTCCTGCCTGCCTGACTGTCGTATCGTCTGCTCGCGGAATCCCTAGGCTGGGCGTGCGTGGGAGAACGCTTTGCGGGTGAGGGACAGGCAGAGCAAAAGGGGCGAGTGGAACCTAGCACATGCTGCGACGAGACTGCAAGGCACCCCGCTACTACAGGACGACATGCGAACGCAGGCGCAAGCGCGGAGCTGCTGGGTTCAGGCCGCCTGTACCGGCGCGGAGAGACGCCGGATATCAGCCCGGATATCGGCCAACAGCCGACGTTGAGCGGCATCTTCCGAACGAGCTCGACGCGGTCGGGTGGCGAGTGGCCCGGGCAGGCCGAGCTACTCTCAGCAGCCATGTGAATTCCTTCCGCCAGGCCATGGTCAGGAAGCCGTCACGCCGGCCCCGGGAGCCACGCCGCTCAGTACTCAAAGTCGATATCGACCGGTGCCGCGACCTTTGTCGCCACGGCCGCCTCTTCTCGGTCGCCGTCCTCGTCCTCGACGTTGTCGTCTACTGCGGCCTTTGGGCCTGCCCGCTGTTGGTCGCGGTAGATGGCTGCGAGCTGGTGGGGCGACGAGGCCTGCTCGACGCCCTTGTCGTCGCGCCGCTTGATGAAGCGCGGGAAGCGGATCGACAGGCCGCGCTCCTCGCTCACCAGGCCCAGCGCGGCCGTGTAGTTGGGGCTGAGGGTGATGTCGGCGCCGCGTAGCTCCCACACCTCGCTCGGCCTCCACCACACGTCGGGCACCAGGCTGCCCGTGTCGTACTCGTACCCGCCCGGTGGGGGCTCGCCGTGGCGCGCCCGGACGCAAGTGTCGCTGCCCTCAGCGTACCGCACGTTGAGATCCTTGTAGAAGGCGTCGGTGAACCCGGAGATGCACTTGCACACCGCCTGGAAGACGCCCGTGTCGGCGTCGTAGACGGCCAGCAGGATGGGCGACCACCACGTCGCCTTGCGGCCCATGCCGTGCCAGGCGCCGATCGGGACCAGGTCGAGCGAGTCGCCGAGGCCATCGACGTAGTCCTTTTTGACCTTGAGCCAAGACTCGCATCGCTTGTCGGGCTCGTACGTCGAGAGCAGCGCCTTGCCGCGGCCATTGACACCTTTGCCGATCGCCGACGCGCCGAGGTCGACGGAGGACGACGTCGTCGCCGAAGTTGCCGTCGTCGTTGTGCCGCCTTCCTCGCCGTCATCGACGCCGTCCTGATCGACGGCAAGGTCGTCCTCGATGACGTCGCCGAGCTTCTCGAGGCGCTTTCCTTCACCAGGATCGGGCCCGGTCCCGTCCACATCGCCAGGGGTTTCACGCCCGCCTCGGGGCATGCCATTTCCACCTTCTTCGCCGGACTCAGCGGCGGTCGTCGACGCTGGCGTCTCCCAGTGGTGGTCGAGGCTCTTGACCATGATGCCCTCGCACTTGTGCTGCTGCGCCGCGGCGAAGAACCGCGCCACGTCGTCCGGATCCGTGCTCTCGCACGACCGCACGTGGGCGAAGCGGGCGATGAGCGGGCTGCGGGGCGCGAGCGGCTTGAAGCGCGAGTGGAGCAGGTTGCGGCGCGTGCGGAACGACGTCTTGAGCAGCGACTCGCCGTCGAGGTACATGAGGTCGAACGCAAACACGCCCACCTTGACCTTGATGTCGTGCAGGCTGACGTCCTTGCGGCTGCGGTTGGCCAGCGTCTGGAAGGGCAGCAGCTCGCCATCGAGGCCCATGGCCACTACCTCGGCGTCCATGATGAACGAGGTAACCTTGTCATTCGGGCGATCATCGACGTCGGCCGATGCGGCTTCGGCGCCGTCAGGTTTGCCGTCGTCGATGTCCGCGACCTCGCTGATCTTGCCGTTCTCCTGCTCGGCCGCGTTGACGCCCGCGCTGCCGGTCTTGCTCCCCAACGGTGCGGCCCAGTTGCCCTCGTCCTCCGACTCGCGCCCCATCAGGATCGGGATCATGTCGCTGATGTCCGGGTACTTTTCCGTCATCTCCTCGAGGTGGCGCGAAAACAGGCGCACGTACACCTCGCCGTCTCTGCCGACCCACTTGCCGCACTTGCCGCTGCTCGCCGCGGCGCTGTTGTGCGACTCGACGATGCTCTTGCGCGCCTCAGGGCCGGCTGAGCGGGGCACGTACACGGCGTGGATCTGGCACCGCTGGCCGTCGTACTTGAACTCGGACACAAAGGCGCGCGGGCCCAGCTTGTCGTGCATCGCGTCGAGCGAGCGCGTGATGGATCCGAGCATGGGCGAGATCGGCGTTCCTATCCGCAGCGGAACGTGGTCCGACAGGCCCGGGAGGCCGACCGTGAGCAGGGCCGGCACAATGACACCAAAGTTGGGATGCCGGGCGCGTACCTCGCTGGGGCGGTGGCCTCGCAGGCGGCATAGAGGTGGGCGAGGCGCGGGTCAGCGAGACCATCCTCCCGATCCAAGGCGAGAGCGGCCGACCGTGACAACTCACCGAACCAGCTTCTCGGCTCGGGCCAGCTTGTCCATGACGGCCAGCCGCCTCGGGTCTGACCGCTCCTTTGGCTTGGTCGCATTGGCCAGAATGCCCTGTCGCTCCTCCGGATGGACGAGCAGCAACGCCGCTCGCTCCTGCTCGCGCTTGGTCGCCGGCTCCAGCCGCGGCCCGGACGCTTCGACCAGCGCAAACACCCGCGCGAGGGCGGTGGCGATCGTGGTGCGCACCGCCTGGATGCGCAGGTGCGAGATAAAGGTGCGCCCGAGGAAGCGCGTCTCCTCGCCGCGGCTCGCGACGAGCAGCTTGGTGACGTAGCCGAGCTTCTGCGTCGCCGAGCCCGAGCCAGAGAGCCGGGCCATGGCGTGGAGCGTCGAGAAGAGCTTCTGCACCGTGATCGGGCTCGGCTTGACGAGCGCCTTGACGTCCTTTTTGGCCTCGTAGGCCACGTCGCCCGGGTCGCCCGTCTTGTCCCACAGGCTCTTGAGCGTGCGCGCGCTCTTGCCCGTCACCTCCTTGATGGCCTTTGTGACGATCGACATGCCGATGCCGAGCTCGACGCCGTCATAGGCCGGCGCGATGTGGTTGGAGATCAGGTAGACCGAGGGGAGCAGGCTGTCCGGGTCATGGGCGCGGATCACGCGCAGCAGGTTGGTGAGGAGGGTCGTGATGATGAGCCTCGAGCGCGTGGCGCTGATCTGGACAAAGGCGTGCGTCAGCAGCGCGTAGGGCGTCGTCGGCAGGGGCTGCGAGCCGGCGCCGTACGCCATGCGGGGCCATCTGGATACGTCGATGGCGTAGGGGTCGAAGTCGAAGATGTCGTCGCCGAGCGGGATCGCCTGGATGGCTGCGTCGAGAGCGGCGAGGTCTATCGGCTTGCCGGGCTCCGGCTTGGCGGGTGGATCAGGCTTCGGATGCGCCAGGTCGGAGACAGGCGTGGCGATGGCAGTGGTCGTGTCCTTGGGCACTTTTCTGGGGGAGCTGTACATGTCGAGGTCCTCGTGCTCCTCGAGGACGAGGCGACGCTTGCGAGGGGAGTCGCCGTCGTTCCGCAGCGTCGAGCCGGCACCTATCTCGCCGCTCCGCGACGACTCGGGCTCGTTCTTGGCCTGGGTCCATTCTAGGTCGAGCCGCCGTGCAAGGTCCTCGTCGGCCTTCATTCGGCGGAGTATCTCTGCGGGGCTGACGCCGTCTTCGGCGGCAGCGAGCTCGGCGGCGAAGCGCGCATCCTGCTCCTCTTGGGTGAGGTCGGATGCGTGGTTTGAGGATGGCTCCTTGTCAGGGCCGGACCCAGCGCCGTGGTCGCCGAGCTGTTCCGTCTTGGCCTGTGCGGTCGCCTTCTTGGAGGGCGATACGAAGAAGGAGGTGAGGGACGACTGGCTCTGGTTCTGCTTGTGCTTCTTGGATGGTGTCGAGGGCTGGCTTGATGGACGCTTCTTGGGCGCCATTGTGAGGGCGTCGGCGTTGGCGGTGTGGGGGGGGTCAGTCTATGCGATAACTCGCCGGTGTTGCATGCCGAGGAGCGAGGTGGATCCAGGTGTCTAGGCGAGGGGGTGGCGATGCGGTCGGACTCGAGGTGGTGGTCGCCGGTGAAGCGAAGTAGGGATGCGGCGGCTGTTTGGAGGTAGGTACGTGTTGGGCTGACCATCCCTTGGTCGAGGGCATGTGGAGGTCGAGGGCAGGAAAGTCGGCACTCGGGAGAGTGTCAGCCGCCTTGACTTGCGTGGGCGGGGGGCCCTGCCTTGCCTTGTGGGACCCTGCCGGCAAGGAACCAAGACTCCGAGCCTCGCCCTTGTCGCCGCACCCCCTTCATCCCGGCCTCGACCACGCTCTCCAACCAAACTTTGACCTTCCTGCTGCCAACATGTCGATGCCAACAAGCTCGGTCAGGATCTGCGCGCCCTGTCGCCGTGTGGCCCTGCTGCAGCACCACCTGGCACGCACCGCCCGCCTTCCCTCGCCGCGCCTCTTCTCCTCGACGCCCTCGGCGCCGTCGCATGATAACCCCCTCGTGAGTCCCTGTCGCCGCCGCAGCGTCCATCTTTGTCGACCGACCGACCGACCGCACTCCTCCTGCATCCTCTGATCGCCTCGCCCCTCCTCGCTTCGACCTGCACCGTCCTTCAGGGCCTTCCGCGCAACAACGAGAGGAGACCACCCCAGATGCCGCGACGGGGCACCGGCGTACCGGAAAAGCGGTCCATCCCGTACGTCAAAAAGGTCCTCGCCGTCTCGAGCGGAAAGGGCGGCGTGGGGAAGAGCACCATATCAGGTACGTCCTCCAGGCCCCCTGGCGACGTCGTCGAGCGAGCCCAACGAAACAAAAATCTTACGTCCGTCGTCCATCTCGCCTCTGTCGTGCCCACTCCGACCAACCCCTCCTCCACCGGCAGCCAACCTGGCGCTGGCGCTAGCTCAGACGGCCGCAGACTGCCCCTCGAGCATCTCTGCGTCACCGCGCAAGCCGAGGATCGGACTGCTGGACCTCGACATCTTTGGACCGAGCGTGCCCAAACTCATGGGTCTCGAAGATGTCGGCGAGCCAGAACTGACGCAGGGTAAGTCCCGACCCCGTCTCCCACCGAGCTCGAGCGACGAAAACCTCACCTCGGCCACTGCCGCCGTTCCCTCCCCTGGCTTCCCGTGCATCCCGAAGACGGCGGACTGATCCCGCTCGTCAACCACGGCATATCGTGCATGTCGATGGGCTTCCTCCTCCCACCCGGCACGTCGGGCTCCAACGCCGACACACCCGTCGTGTGGCGCGGCATGATGGTCATGAAGGCGACGCAGCAGCTCCTGTTTGACGTCGACTGGCGACGCGGCGCCAGCCCCGATACGCCCCGGTCCGACGCCTCGAACTCCTCTCCTGCTACCGCCGCAGCCGCAGCCGCGACGACGTCGACGACGCCCGCAGAGGATTGGCTCGACGTCCTCGTCATCGACATGCCGCCGGGCACCGGCGATGTGGCCCTCAGCCTGAGCCAGCTGGTCAAGGTCGATGGCGCCGTCGTGGTCAGCACGCCGCAGGAGGTGGCCCTCATCGACGCTCGAAAGGGCGTGTCGATGTTCAACAAGGTCAAGGTGCCCGTGAGTGGCCTTTGCCCCGGAGGCAATCGACTGCGGTCCATCCCGAGCGATCCACCGATTCACACTCACCTCGTCACTTGCCTTCTCGACCCTTCTCGACCTCCCCATCCTTCTCCTCCTCCTCCTTCAGATCGCCGGCCTGGTGCTCAACATGTCGCACTTCGTCTCGCCGGATACGGGCAGGGCATTCGAGCTCTTCGGGCCATCGCGACCCTTCGACGACTATGCCCAGCAGCGCGGCCTGCCCATCCTCGGTCGCATCCCGCTACAGCCCGACGTCAGCACCGGAGGAGACAGGGGTCAGCCCACTGTCCTGCGCCCCACTATCCAGGTCGAGAGCGGCAACGGCCAGGTCGGAGGCGCTGCCGAGACGAGGGACAACCTGGCCCGCGACGAGTTTCTCGCCATCGCCAAGCAGTGCTGGCAGAAGCTGGCGTAGCTGTGGTTAAGCCTACGGCGCCGTCCGCCTGTCGATAGAGAACCACGGAGGCTGTCGGGTCGGGCCCGTCGGGCACGAGGATCGGGAAATTGGATGCGTTATAGTTACAGATCGACTGAGGGGGCCCCGGGAACTAATGCGATGATAGGTGCGTGTGTGTGTGAGTGTGTATGGGCGAGCGAGCGCGACGCACGGGCGCGCGGGCCGAGAATCGAGGCTGGCGGTGCAACGATGCCGGCTCATGCCTTGGCGACGGTGACGCCGGCGGCCTTCTCGAGCTGCCTCTCGAGGGCCATGATCTCCTTGAGGTTGTCCTCGAGCATCTGCTGGGCCTCCTTGCCGGCGGGCTGGAGGGGTCGACGGGGCTGGCCGACGGGGTAGTAGAAGCGGTCGAGGGCCCACTTGGTGCCGCCGATGGCGCCCTTGAAGAGGACCCAGTCGGCCTTGGAGACAATCTTCTGGAGCTCCTGGGCCTCCTCGAGCTTGGCCCAGTCCTTGTTGGCCCGGGCGTCCTTGATGAGGTTGTAGAGCTTGACGCAGACGCGCGGCGCAATGTTGGCGGTGCCGCAGATGGTGCCGTCGAGGCCGACCATCATCGAGGGCAGCAGGATGTCGGCGAAGCCCGTGACAATCAGGAAGCCGGGGCGCTGGACGGCGTCGACGATGCGCGCGCCCTTGCCAATCATGGCGCAGGTGAGCTTGGCGCCGCAGATGTTGGGGTGCTGCGAGATGTCGATGAGCAGGTCCGAGTCGAGGTCGATGCCCGAGGCGCAGGCGGGGAAGTTGTACATCATGACGGGGATGGGCGAGGCGTCGGCGACGGCGACAAAGAACTCCTTGATGGCGGCGCGGTTGTTGGTCAGGGCGCCGGCAAAGTAGCCGGGGGTGATGACAATGACGGCGTCGGCGCCGGCCTGAGCGGCCTCCTTGCAGTTGCGCACCGTCTCCTTGATCGAGCCCACACCGGCACCGGCAATGATAGGCGTCTCGCCCAGGCCGGCGGCGTCGAGCGACTTGCGAGCCGCAGCGACCAGCTGGCTGCGCTCCTCGGTCGACAGGTGCGAGGCTGCAAAGGGGGATCCGGTGGGGAAGGAAGGAGAAGCAGACATGCGGGAGGAGGCGATTCGGCAGGCAGGGCGAGGTCAGCCGACTGGATCCTGGATCGAAAGCGTCCACAACAACCTCGAGGCGGCGGCCGGGAAAGCACAAGCAATCGGCCAGCTCGACACTCGTCGGCCAGGACGCCGGCCGCCGTCGCCGTCCCGTTCCGCCACCATCGAAACGCGAGTACCCACCTTCGCCGTTGGTGCCCATGACGACGAGGCCGACGCCGGCGCCGGCGACGCGGACGACGTGCTGCTCCCAGGCCTTGTAGTCGATCTCCTCGTTGGCGTCAAAGGGGGTGACGAGGGGCGAGTAGATGCCCGTGTGGAGCGGCCGGGTGGCGGCGGCGTGGCCGTTTCCGTTTCCGTTGGCAGCAGTCATTTTTGGGCGGTAGTGAGCTGGAGAGATTTGACGAGGTGGAGAGGCGGCGACGGGCGACGAGAGAAAGAAGGACAAAGGACGAGGCAGGGACGAGGGTGAGGGGAGAGAGGGAGGGGGGAGGCGAGCGGGAGCTTCGTGGACCAAGGGCATCGCTCGTTTAAGTAGCGAGCGGCAGCGGCGCCGGCGATGGGCATGGGCATGGGGCGAGGGTCCACGCCCGCACGCCCGCTCGCCCGCTCGCCCGCTCGCCCG